AGAACATAAATATGCAAGATAATTTCAGATAGTGGTGAGTGTTTGGAAAAAAATAAAATGCTATTGGCACCGAGGGGCTGGTCAGGTTAGGGTAGGTCCCTCTGAAAAGTGTCATATGAGCTGAGACCACAAAGAGGAGGAACCAGCCATGGGAAGATGTGGAAGAAGAATGTCCCGGGCAAGTGCAAAGACCCCATGGCACGCACAAGCTTGTGTGCCTGGAGCGAAAGGAGCATTGAAGAGCTCTGGCGAGAGGCCTCAGCCAAGGGCCCTGAAAGGTGATTGGGGTTGATTCCAACGGTGATAAGCAACTACGCAAGTGTTCTCAGAAGGGAAGTAACTTGGAACTTGGTATGACTTGCAGTTCTTTTTTTTTTTTTTTTTTTTGACAGAGTCTCACTCTGTTGCACAGGCTGGAGTACAGTGGTGCAATCTCGGCTCACTGCAACCTCTGCCTCCCAGGTTCAAGTGATTCTCGTGCTTCAGCCTCCTGAGCAGCTGGGACTACAGGCACCCGCCACCATGCCCAGCTAATTTTTTTTTATGTGTAGTCGAGACAGGGTTTTGCCATGTTGGCCAAGCAGGTCTCAAACTCTGAGTCTCAAGCAATCAGCCCACCTTGGCTTCCCACAGTGCTGGGATTACAGGCATGAGCCACTGTGCCCGGCCTTGACTTGCAGTTTTAAGCTTCCTCTGAGTCCTGATGGAGAACGAAAGGCAGGAGCCCTGAGACCAGGCAGAAGATGGCTGCGGAGTCCACACGAGGGATGGTGGCAGGAGGATGGGTGGCATATGTGGCCAGGAGTAGTTAGATTCGGGGTGTATATTTTGGAGGCAGGGCCAAGGAACTCTTCTGTGGGGTTAAGTGGGTAAGAAGAGGGAATTTGAAGGATCTGGCTCACTACAAGGAAAGGTAGGCCCTTTCTCTGTCCTGGTGACTCACGAACAGCCTAGAACAGTGTCTGCCATCTATATGTCCTTCACTACTATTTGCTGTCTCAACAAATGAGATGCAGTTTGACCTTAATTTGGAAATGAGGCTACTGGGGATGGAGCCTGACTGGGAAAGGGGACCCCGGAGAGACCTAACCCCGGAGGAGGTGGCTTGCCACAGGAGGCCAGAGACCCAGCCGGCCTGGGGACTTTGGACTTAATCTGGGTTTGAGGAGAGCTTGGCAGTGATGGTGTGAGGCCTGCACAGCTCCCAGAGGGTTCCAGCCTCAAAGGTCCTCACTACATACCCAGGGTTCCTTTCTCCAGAGTCTGCCCACCAGGGCCCAGGAAAGCTGGATGCGAAATCCTGGCCTGAGCCTCTGAGCACCACCTGCATGCAGCCAGTTTGTCCCAGGCCAAGTGACGCCGCTCCAAAGGGCAGTGGGAATAGCTTGGTAGGAGCTGGCTTCTAGAGACAGACTGCCTGGGTTCAAATGTGGGCTGTGGGGCCTTCGAGGACACGTTTCTTAAGCCCTCTGAGCCTCAGTTTTCCCATGTAGAAAGTTGACTGGTGCTATGATTAAGGCAGGCTCTCCTATTGTGCACCCCTTTCCCCCACATCGCCAAATGTCTCCCACAGACCCAGAGACAGTGGCCACCATGCGAAAGCCCCGCTGCTCCCTGCCTGACGTGCTGGGGGTGGCGGGGCTGGTCAGGCGACGTCGCAGGTATGCTCTGAGCGGCAGCGTGTGGAAGAAGCGAACCCTGACATGGAGGTAGGTCCCGGGGCCCACCCGCACCCTGGGCCTGCCTGCTGGGCTCCAGCTTTGAATGGCTGCCTACTCCCTCCACGGCTACCCTTACGCCTTGCTCCCCTCTCCCCAGGGTACGTTCCTTCCCCCAGAGCTCCCAACTGAGCCAGGAGACCGTGCGGGTCCTCATGAACTATGCCCTGATGGCCTGGGGCATGGAGTCAGACCTCACATTTCATGAGGTAGATTCCTCCCAGGGCCAGGAGCCCGACATCCTCATCGACTTTGCCCGCGCCTTCCACCAGGACAGCTACCCCTTCGACGGGTTGGGGGGCACCCTAGCCCATGCCTTCTTCCCCGGGGAGCACCCCATCTCTGGGGACACTCACTTTGACGATGAGGAGACCTGGACTTTTGGGTCAACAGGTAAAATCTCCTTTCTTATGAGAGATCCTCTTGCCAGGTCTGGTCTCGGCCAGAATAAGTTTTCTGGGAGGCTGAGGCGGGCGGATCACAAGGTCAGGAGATCGAGACCATCCTGGCTAACACGGTGAAACCCCGTCTCTACTAAAAATACAAAAAATTAGCTGGGCGCGGTGGCGGGTGGCCTGTAGTCCCAGCTACTCCGGAGGCTGAGGCAGGAGAATGGTGTGAACCCAGCGGAGCTTGCAGTGAGCCGAGATCGCGCCGCTGCACTCCAGCCTGGGCCACAGAGCCAGACTCCGTCTCAAAAAAAAAAAAAAAACAAAAAAAACCCACAAGGTCTCGCTCTGTTCCTTAGGTTAGAGTGCAGTGGTGCAATCAGAGCTAACTGCAACCATGAACTTCTGGCTCAAGCAATCCTCCCACCTCAGTCTCCAGAGTAGCTGGGATCACTGGTGCACACCTTCATACCTGGCCTTTTTTTTTTTTTTTTTTTTTTTTTTTTTACCTTTTGTAGAAACAGGATCTCATTATCTTGCTCAGGCTGGAGTGCAATGGCACGATCATAGCTCACTTCAGCCTTCACCTCCTGGGCTCAAGCAATCCTCCTTCCTCGGCCACCCACGTAGCCAGGACCACAGATGTGCACCACCACACCTGGCTAGTTTTAAAATTTTTTGTAGAGACCAGGCTTCACTGTGTTGCCAGGGCTGGTCTTGAACTCCTGGGCTCAAGTAGTCCTCCCATCTTGGTCTCTCAAGGCGTTGGGATTATAGGCATGAGCCACCACTCCTGGCCAATAATTAGGTTTAAGTTATATTTATTGATGGAGGCTCTATCATCTAGGGGGTCTCCAGAGAAACAAAACCAATAAGATGTGTGTGTGTGGGATGTGTCTGTGTGTGTATGTGTGTGTGGGGAGGGGTGTGTGTGTGTGTGTGTGTGTGTGTATGTAAAGAGATTTATTTTAAGGAATTGGCTCATGTGATTGTAGGGGCTAGCAAGTCCAAAATTTGTATGGCAGGCTGGCAACTCTGGATTTCAGTGACAGTCTGGAGGCAGAATTCCTTCCTCTCCAGAAAATCTTAGCTTTTGCTCTCAAGGCCTTGAACCGATTGGCTCTGCCCCTGCCCCACCCCCAGCCACACTATGGAGCATGATCTACTTGACTTAAGGTCAACTGATTGTAGATGTTAATTGCATCTACAAAGCACCTTCACCATAGCATCTAGACTGGTGTTTCACCAACCAGCTGGGCACGACAGCTGGGCCAAATTGACCATCACAGAGGACTAGCAGGTGCTTAGCTCCAATGCAGAGCTGGGGGCTTACAGAGATGAAAACAAACCTCTACCTGGCAGCTGAGTCAGAAGAGTGACTGGCAATGACAAAACCCACAGTGACACAGCTGCACAGAGTCCCAGCAGAGGAAGTCCTCAAGCCTGCAGGGGCTCAGAGATGTTGGCCCAAAGCTCTTGGGCAAGAGGAGGCTTCCTAGAGGAGGTGACTTCATTCCCTCAATATAGATATGAATATAGGCCGGGCGCCGTTGCTTCCGCCTGTAATCCCAGCACTTTGGGAGGCCGAGGCAGGCAGATCACCTGAGGTCAGGAGCTTGAGACCAGCCTGACTAACATGTTGAAAGCCCGTCTCTACTAAAAAATACAAAAAATTAGCCGGGTGTGGTGGCGCACACCTGTAATCCCAGCTGCTGGAGAGACTGAGGCAGGAGTATCTATTGAATCCAGGAGGCAGAGGTTGCAGTGAGCCGAGATCGTGCCACTGCACTCTAGCCTGGACAACAAGAGCAAAACTCCATCTCAAATATATATATATGTGAATATCCACACATACACACTGAGCGCCTACTCGCACAAGACCAGACATACAGGGTTCCGCTCTCCCCGGGCACACAGGGTTGAGATCCAATAGGAAGGCAGCGAGTCAGCTCAGTCAAGGGTACGAGGAGCCAGTGAACAGGGAAATGACCCGGGACATCTGAGGCCGGACGCCAAAACTATGGCATCAGTAGGGAGACTGCAGAAGGTGGCAGGTCCCAGATCACCAAGGACCTTGAAAGCATGTGGAAGACTGTTCAGTTGGGGAATCATTAAGGGGTTTTGCATTCTGGAACTATCATCAACTTCAGCGGGGTCCGGGGGTAGGATAGAGGCAGGGAGGCAGGAAGTTCTCGCACGGTCCAGGCACGAGATGGTGGAGTGTGCTCCCGGGGAAGGGGGCAGTGAATGGATCTAAGGGAGGTTCAGTTACGATGGGCACGGATTGAGATCTGGCTGGATCCTGGTGACAGGAGAGATGAGGCTGGGGCCTTTGGAGGATGGTGTCCTAGTGGTGCTGTTAATGCAGGTGGGAGAGTGGGAGAGGGAGGAGCAGGCTTGCAGAAGGCAGGCATGAGTGCAGGTCTGGGTGGGAGTCTGCAGAGCTCCGGGCTGGCCATGCAGGTGGGGCCCAGGAAGTTGAGGATCCTGCCCTAGAGCTTGGTCTCCTCTGTCTGAGGTCAGGTTCCCTAGAGGTGGAGCTCCAGAGGGAAATTCTTGTGCAAGCAGTTTCTCAGGGGCCATGTGCTGAGGGGGATGGTAAGCAGGAACAGTCTAGAAGCTGAGTGAGGATGTGGTCTCAGCTGGAGCCTGATCCCATGGGAGCTCTGCAGCAGGGATGGCAATGCCAGGGAGGCGATCCCGCCTGAGGCCAGGCCCAGCTCTTTGTAGCCCCATATTAACTACATTGGCTGTGGGCTGCTGGGGAGCCTGAGTGACCGGGGGAGAGGGGCAGCCAGGGAGGTGCCTAGGTCCTGCGGAGGGCTTGGGCGAGGCAAAAGCTGGGGAGGCTGTGTGCCGCAACATTAACATGTGGGCTTCAGCCAGGCGTGGAGGCACATGCTTGTAGTCCCAGCTACTCAGGAGGCTGAAACGGGAGGATTGCTTGAGTCAGGGAGGTTGAGACTGTAATGAGCTGTGTTCACACCACTGCACTGCGGCCTGGGTGACACAGTGAGACCCTGTCACACACAAAAGGAGGATGTGGGCTTCAAAGTTGAATTCAAGTAAGTCAGGGTTCTTCCCCTCGTAATGAATAACTTCCTTCACCTCATTGTCTCAGGTTCCTCGCCTGAGAAATGCAAGGAGAATGGTGCCTGCTGGTGGCATGGGCTTGCCGATGAAATGAGCGATTCACCCGTGCCTCTCAGCACAGGGCCTGCCCCGGGCCACATAGTGTGCATTGCCATCTGCTGTCAGAGCTGGGCTAGTGGCCGCCTTGAGAGCCAGCAGTCCATGGGGGCTGGCAAGCTTCTGGGAGGAAAGGGTGGAACGTGACGGTCAGATACAGAGCTACAGAGAACCCCACCATGAAGGGGTAGGTGGCATCAACAGAGATGGAGAAAGACTGAGCCCAAAGGTGATCAACAACAAGAGTGAAGGAGGAAGTGGTCAGCCGTGGCTGGGACAAAAACAAGCCCAGTAAATTACATTGGCTTGTATTTGGTCATCTAGGGACAAAGTCACCTTTTTAGTGCCTGTAGACCCAGCGCGTTGGGGAAGAATTTAGGCCACAGTGGGCTTAGGCATGAGAGGAGCAGAGGAAGTGAAGATTGAGTTGAGACCACTGGCTGGAGAACTTGACTGGGAAGGGAGGGCAGAGAGCCGCGTGGGGTGAGGGGAGGGAATAGGTCCAATGAGCGTCTTAGGATGAGGGAGTTGTGAGCACTGAACACTGGATGAGCTGATACAAAGAAGGGGTCAGGGATGGATGGACTGACAGATGCATGCACAGAGGCAGGGATGGATGGATGGACAGATGCATGCACAGAGGCAGGGATGGATGGACAGATGCATGCACAGAGGCAGGGATGGATGGACAGATGCATGCACAGAGGCAGGGATGGATAGACTGACAGATGCATGCACAGAGGCAGGGATGGATGGACTGACAGATGCATGCACAGAGGCAGGGATGGATGGACGGACAGATGCATGCACAGAGGCAGGGATGGATGGACAGATGCATGCACAGAGGCAGGGATGGATGGACAGATGCATGCACAGAGGCAGGGATGGATAGACTGACAGATGCATGCACAGAGGCAGGGATGGATGGACTGACAGATGCATGCACAGAGGCAGGGATGGATGGATGGACAGATGCACGCACAGAGGCAGGGATGGATGGATGGACAGATGCACGCACAGAGGCAGGGATGGATGGACAGATGCATGCACAGAGGCAGGGATGGATGGACGGACAGATGCATGCACAGAGGCGGGGGATGGATGGATGGAAGGATACATGTCCAGAGGCAGGGATGGATGGGTGGGTAGATTGGATGGACAGATGAGGGTAGGTTGTTCTTGTCCTGGAGGAGGTGATCCAGGCTAAGTCTTCACACTGAGCACAGCAAGAGGCAGGAGGTGAGCATGGGGAGATGCAGCTGTGTGCCCCAGTGCACCGGAAGTTACAGATAACATTGATGTCCTGTCTTGATGAAACAGGAAACACATTTATCATCTGAGAATTGGGGGCTGGGGTTGACTGGAAGCTCGAGGGGCTGTGAGCCTGCCATGGGGCTGAGGGAAGCGTGCAGGAGCTGCCTGCCAGAGCCTGGGGCAAGGATGATAGGAGGTACTGGGGCCCCTGTGGACTGCCCTCTGAGAATCTCGTAGGGCTGGGGCTGCACAGTTGTGGTTGTGTAATTTCCCCGAGATGCATGGCGTGACAAGGGTGCAGGAAGGGGTGCAGGGTCCGGAAGCTCAGTATGGCCAAGGAGAGACAAGGCAGGGAAGAAGGTGAGAGATGAATGATATCGCTCTGATTGAAACACCAAACTTCCCCCAGTTTCTCAGAAAAAGAACTCAGAGCAACAAGAGAACCTACAGTCGACAGGGAAATTCATCAGTGCAGATGTGATTTGACCAAGACCATTGAAACCCCTGATGAAAGGCAGGCCGGCAGAGCCAGGGTACCTGGCCACCTACCTTGAAGTCTCTGTGCCTCAGTTTCCTCCTCTGTAAAATGGGCTTAGGAGACAGGTTTGGTGAGAAGTGAATGAAAACGTGTTTGCTACCCCTCTTAGGACTCACGTTTCATGCTTAGACGCTCAGCAAGTGGCTTTAGCGAGTGCGATAAGTTTGCTTTTCAGTTCACCAGGTCGTTACCTACAAGCCTGCCCTGAACAGTGCTGACCTTAGTTGGAGATGGCCATGAAACTCATCCGCATGGGGCCATCGGGGCCTCCCTGTGGTGCTGCGGGGCTGTGTCTCTGTCTTGGTCTCTTCTGGCCTCTCAGCAGCCGGAGCAGGAGGCAGCAGGCGGCTCACCAGTTGATGAGGAGCTGGGCTTCAGCCAGGCTGGCATGTGAATCCTCTGGTTCCTGGCGGTCCTGAGCACCTGAGCTGAATCTGGAGGGAAGAGGCTGCTGTGGTGGGAAGAGGCTGGGAGTGAGGCCGGGTGCTGGGGCCAGCAGGCTGTGGTCTGAGAGTGCCTGCCAGAGGAGCTCTGTGTTCCCAAGGAGATGCAGGAAGACTTGGGGTGGGGGTGGTACAGGGTAGGATGAGGAGGGGTAGAGGCTGTGGACAGGGAGATGGGGAGGGGGGATGGAGGACTCAAGGAATGTAAGGGGTATGACTTGAGGAGGGATGGGGGTAGGAATGGGGTAGGAGGCAGGAATGGGAGAAGGTCTTGGGTCAAGGACATGGACCTACATCCCCAGCGGATGGGGGTGGCAAGGGGGAGAGGGGTGGGAGTCGCTGACCATAGACTGTAGCTGGGAGGAGGGGATGCTCCCAGGGCTGGGGCTGTCTGCAGAGAATGGCACGCACCTTGTAGGCTCCTGCCCTCGCCCCACCGCCCTCTCAAGTTTCTTTTATTTTCTGTTTTCTTTTTTTGAGACGGAGTCTTGTTCTGTCGTCCAGGCTGGAGTGCAATGACACGGTCATGGGTCACTGCAGCCTTGACCTCCCGGGCTCCAGCAATACTCCTGCCTCCCTGCCTCAACTTGGGACCTGAGTAGCTGGGACTACAGGCGTGCGCCACCATTCCTGGCTAATTTTTTTATTTTTATTTTTATAGGGATGGGGATCTCCTTATGTTGTCCAGGCTGGTCTTGAACTCCTGGGCTCAAGCTATCCTCCCACCCAGGACGCCAAAAGTGCTGGGATTATAGGTGTGAGTCACCACATCCAGCTCCTCCCCTCAAACTTCTGTGCAAAAAGTGCTCCCTTCCCAGAGGAGGGGCTCCATCTGTGTGTAAGGTGGCCTCTTCCTCTGCGTGTTCTCTGGGTCTTTTCAGCCTTGTGGTCCAGTGTCCAGCACAGCCATGCTGACTGGGTGACGAGACAGGGATGATGGAGAGTTCAGGGGGGTCCCGGGCAGAGGAGGCTGGGGCCACCTCTGGAGGGTGTCCTGCTGTTCCTGTTGGCCATAGCCGCACTCGCAGGGCCTTCCTGTGCCCCCTTTCCCCAGGCAGGGGCAGCCTCAGCTTCCGTCCACTTTCTCCTGCAGACGGTGAGGGGACGGACCTGTTTGCCGTGGCTGTCCATGAGTTTGGCCACGCCCTGGGCCTGGGCCACTCCTCAGCCCCCAACTCCATTATGAGGCCCTTCTACCAGGGTCCGGTGGGCAACCCTGACAAGTACCGCCTGTCTCCGGATGACCGTGATGGCCTGCAGCAGCTCTATGGTAGGAGGAGAGGGACCCGCCGTGAAACCATCATTGCCCCATCCAGTGTCCTCTGCAGCAGGCCAGGGGACCCACACTTGCTTGACTCTTTCCCCACAGGGAAGGCACCCCAAACCCCATATGACAAGCCCACAAGGAAACCCCTGGCTCCTCCTCCCCGGCCCCCAGTCTCACCCCCAGACAGGTGAGTCCCCCACTAAATGGGTGACCTTGGGTGACCAGCTGCCCAGCCTCAGTGTCCTCTGAGATGGGGATGGTGGGTGTCTCCGCCTAGGAGGAAACAAGCCCCCTACCCCGCTCACCTTTCCTTTCCTCCCCAGCCCATCCTTCCCCATCCCTGATCGATGTGAGGGCAATTTTGACGCCATCGCCAACATCCGAGGGGAAACTTTCTTCTTCAAAGGTGAGTCATTTCATGTGGCCTCATGTATGTTGGCTTCCTGCCCACTTCAGTGACCCACTGGGGTTGTGGGCTTACCCTGGAAGTGGAACTTTTTTCTTCTTCTTTGAGACGGAGTCTTGCTTTGTTGCCTGGGCCAAAGTGCAGTGGTGTGATCATGGCTCACTGCAGCCTCAAAATACGGGGATCAAGTGATCTTCCCACCTCAGCCTTCCTAGTAGCTGGGACCACAGGCACATGCCAACATGCCTTGCTAGTAATTTATTTTTTTATTTTGTAGAGATGGGGTCTCACTATATTGCCCAGGCTGGTCTCAATCTCCTGGCTCAAGTGAGTCTCCATTGTCAGCCTCCCAATGTGCTGGCATTACAGGTCTGAGCCACCAGGCACGGCCCTGGGACTTTTAGTGCTAAAAAGGGAAAAGTCCCAGGCAGGCCAGGATGGGCTGGTCACCCTAGATCCATTGCGCCCTTGATTTCCAGATGGGACCCCTCCCTACCCAGCCACACACGCTGCGGGAGGAGACCTCCTGCTGTCTCATGCCTTCCTGTGAACCCCTTTGTGCCCTGCAGGCCCCTGGTTCTGGCGCCTCCAGCCCTCTGGACAGCTGGTGTCCCCGCGGCCTGCGCGGCTGCACCGCTTCTGGGAGGGGCTGCCTGCCCAGGTGAGGGTAGTGCAGGCCGCCTATGCCCGGCACGGAGACGGCAGAATCCTTCTCTTCAGCGGTGAGTGGGGCCGGCCGTGGAGCGCGCTGGGGCCGGCGCGGGGAGCCCACGCTGACCTCCCGGCCTCCGCTCTGCAGGGCCCCAGTTCTGGGTGTTCCAGGACCGGCAGCTGGAGCGCGGGGCGCGGCCGCTCACGGAGCTGGGGCTGCCCCCCGGGGAGGAGGTGGATGCCGTGTTCTCGTGGCCACAGAACGGGAAGACCTACCTGGTCCGCGGCCGGCAGTACTGGCGCTACGATGAGTCGGCGGCGCGCCCGGACCCTGGCTACCCTCGCGACCTGAGCCTCTGGGAAGGCGCGCCCCCCTCCCCTGACGATGTCACCGTCAGCAACGCAGGTGGGAAGCGCGGTGACCTGCGGGTTACTGGGCCTGGCGTGGGGAGAGGGGTGTGGGGAATGGGGACATGGAGACCACCCTGCGGGGATGGGGGTCCTTGGGCAGCAGGGAGGGGGGGCGGGGCGGGGCGGGACCGGGACTCAAGCTCTGCTCTCCCAGGTGACACCTACTTCTTCAAGGGTGCCCACTACTGGCGCTTCCCCAAGAACAGCATCAAGGCCGAGCCGGACGCCCCCCAGCCCATGGGTCCCAACTGGCTGGACTGCCCCGCCCCAAGTTTTGGTCCCCGCGCCCCCAGGCCCCCCAAAGCGACCCCCGAGTCCAGAGCCTGCGATTGTCAGTGCGAGCTCAACCAGGCCGCAGGACGGCGGCCCGCTCCCCTCCCGCTGCTCCTCTTGCCCCTGCTGGTGAGGGTTGTCGCCTCCTGCTGATGGGGGGAGCGATCCAGACGGAACAGCGCCCGCCACGGCCGAGTCCCCCGCAGCTGGACCTGGTCGGGGGTTGTGAGGCGCTGGGCGGAGGCCCCTTGTCTGTTCCCACAGACTGGGGCTTGGGCGCGGACTAAGCGGGGTGGATCTCCCGCGCAGGGGCGGCGGCAGCGGGGACTGGTCGCCCTGGCGCTGGGCTCAGTCTCCGCGGGATCTCCCGCCCGCTGCGATGCCACCTGAACCGGCCGCCAGGGGGCGCGCGCGCGCTGGGTCCACGTGTCGGTCGCCGCCCCCGTCGTTCCCTCGCGGCAGCCGCCCGGGGGATAGGACCGAGCCCGGGGAGGACAAGGGGCGGGCCTGCGGCCTCACCCGGAGGGTCGGCGGTCCCTGGCCGCGAGCTGCCCCCGAAGGACTGTCCTTTTCCAGGAAAAGGCAGCTTTTCTCGGAGCGCAGTCCCGGGACTCTCCGCAGCCCCGCCCTGCCTGGCCACTGTGCCTGGCGTTCCTGGGTCGTTAGAGGACAGGCTTTACTGCGAAGCTGGGCCCTGCCCTCTCCCACCCGCAGTTTCTCACCCCGTTCTGCTCCCACGATGCCCCTCTACAGTCATTGCCACATTGGTGGGAACCTGGGACCCAGACCCGGAACCAGCCCAGATACCACCCTTGAGGACCCATGCGCCACGTCCTGGGTGGTGGCATCAGTGGCTGGAGGGATGATCCTTGCTCTCCAGACCCTGTTAACCTTGTTTCCATTCCTCCCCTGCCGCCCATCTCCTCCTCCTCAGGCCACCCAGCCTGGGCACCTCCCTGGGCCCAGAACTGCCTCCCATTGAATGGAGCACCCTTCTATCCCCAAGAACCCCTTCCCTGCTTGCACCCTGGAGAGAACAGCTTAACTCCCATCAACTCA